CTTGTTATATAATAAATAGATGCATGACTAGACCTCTTGTAGAGAAAACTCCCTATGAGTTACTTAAAGGGAGAAAACCAAACATATCCCATCTTAGGGCTTTTGGGTGTAAGTGCTATGTGCACAATAATGGCAAAGACTCCTAGGTAAGTTTGATCCCAGAAGTGATGAGGGAGTATTCTTGGGATATTCTTCACATAGCAAAGCATATAAAGTGTTTAATAAAAGAACTCTATGTGTTGAAGAGAGTGTACATGTTGTGTTTGATGAATCTAACACTCTTTCTGAGAGACAGGAACATGAAGATGAAGCCATTGGACTGGTGAGACAATTGACTGAAGCCACAGCACAAGTCAAAGTGGCATCAAAGGAAGGAGTAGGTTATGGAACAGGTCCTCTCACCCAGGGCAACCTGACAGGGGGAACCAATCTGAAGGATCCTGTACCTGAACCTGTTCCTCTACAGCATAACTATGAAGGAGAAACTAGCAGGAACCAGATGGTGGGGAAATCTTACAAGTACCTGAGTTCTCACCCCATTGAGAACATCATCAATGATCCAACATCTGGGGTCAAGACAAGATCACAACTGAAGAACTGTGTGCATTTGATGTTTTTCTGTCCCTCATTGAACCTAAAAATGTGAGTGAAGCTCTACAAGATGCAGATTGGGTCAATGCTATGCAAGATGAGCTCAATCAGTTTGAAAGAAGCCAAGTTTGGCACTTAGTTCCAAAACCAAAAGACAGATCAGTCATTGGGACAAAATGGGTCTTCAGGAACAAACTAGATGAAGATGGAACAGTTACAAGAAATAAGGCAAGGTTGGTGGTTCAAGGCTATAGTCAAGAGGAAGGCATTGATTATGATGAGACTTTTGCTCCAGTGGCTAGACTTGAAGCAATTAGACTCCTCATAGCCTTTGCAGCACATATGGAATTCACTCTTCATCAAATGGATGTCAAAAGTGCCTTCCTAAATGGCTATCTCAAAGAAGAAGTGTTTGTGAGACAACCTCCAGGATTCGAAAGTAAAGAATGTCCCGATCATGTATACAAGCTAGATAAAGCTCTCTATGGTCTCAAGCAGGCCCCAAGAGCTTGGTATGAAATATTGTCAAAATTCCTTCTGGAGCATGGGTACAAAAGAGGTAAAATTGACAGAACTTTGTTCCTAAGGGAAAAAGGTAAAGATCTTCTTGTTGTACAAATATATGTTGATGACATAATATTTGGGGCCACTTCTGATAGGTTGAGTAAGGACTTTGCAAAATTAATGGGAAGTGAGTTTAAAATGAGTATGATGGGCGAACTAAATTTCTTCCTAGGCTTGCAGATCAAACAAAGTCCAAATGGAACCATGATTCATCAGCAGAAGTATACAAAAGAACTAATCAAGAAGTTTAAAATGGAAGACTCTAAAGAAATAGATACACCTATTGCAACTTGTCACACCTCCTTTTTCCTACACCTACAAGGGCGTAAAGGAGTTTTTCCACTTAAAGGACAATCGG